GGTGTTGGGGATAATGTAGGGAAAGAAGCAGCACGAGATCCAAGAGATAAAAGGACAGATTGCTGCTGCTGCTGCTGCTGCTGCTGCGGTGGTGCAGCAAAAGGTACAGGCAGCGCAACATCTTTTAGATCGTGCTGCTGCTGCTGCTGTGCTGCTGTTGCTGCTGCTGCTGCTGGTGAGCCTGCAGCAAGAGCAGCAGAAGAAGCAGAAAGAGGAGAAGAAAGAAGCTCCTCTAATCTGCCACCATGTGCTGCTGCTGCTGCTGCTGCTGCTGCTGGATCAGCAGACGGCATAGCAGCAGCAGCAGTATATCCAGGGTAATGCTGCACAAAGAAAGTACCCTTAGGTTGCTTCCTGCGGCCTATAAGGTCTGCTGCTGCTGCTGCTGCTGCAGCAGCAAGAGATTGAGGTTCTGCTGCTTCTGCTGCTGCTGTTGCGTTATCTTGCTGCCAAGGAGAAGAGAATGTTCCTTGGCTAGCGCCATCTTGCTGCCGCTGCTTCTGCTGCTGCTGCTGCCGCTGCTGCACACCAAATGGCAGCAGCCATACAAACAGCAGCACGAGCAGCAGCAGCGCCAGCAGCAGCAGCAGCAGCACGACAAAACGTTTACGCCTCAGCATACCTATATGTTTTGCTGCTGCAGTTGCTGCAGCAGAAGCAACTGCTGCTGCTGCACCAGCAGCAGCTGCTGCTTGCCGCTGCAGCAAATGCCTACTACGCTGCTGCAGCTGCCTAGGGGAATGTGGCCGCAGCGGTGGGCCGTCAGAAGGAATAGGAGAGAATCCTGCTGCTGCTGCTGCTGCAGCAGCAGCAGCAGCAGCAGCAGACTGTCGCCGCTGACGGGCTGAAGGAGAAGAAGCAAATTCTTCTACATCTAATTCGTCTCTTGTAGATGACATAAAATGCTGCATCTAAGCAGCAGCAGCAGCAGCAAGTGCTGCTGCTGCAGCAGATGCTGCAGCCCGTGCAGCTACTGCTGCTGCGTCTCCGGCTCTTGCTGCACTATCGCTGCTCCTCCCGTGCCTCTGCTGCTCGTAATGCTCGTAATGCTCGTGCTGTTCGTGCTGCTACTGCTGCTGCTGCTGTTGCTGCTGCTTAAATCAAGCCCCAAGAAGGACTTGCAGCAAGAAAGGAAAAAGGACGATGTGTGCAGCTAGCTGCTGCAGTGTCTCAGGAGTGTGTTGTGCTGAGCAGACACTGCAGTTGCTGCTGCTGCTGCTGCTGCTGGTAAGGAGGCTAATGTTAGCAGGAAGCAGCAAAACATCGCTTGCTGCTGTCTATACAGCAGGAGTTGTTAAGGGTTTACGAGGGAAAGCTGCTGCATATAAAGGGAAAGAGGAGAAAGAGAAGAAAAAAAGAAAAGAAATAGGTCAAAATAAACCCTAAAAAAGAGAAAGAGGGTTTATAATTGTCCTATTAGGGTTTAGGGTTTAGGGTTTAGGGTTTAGGGTTTAGGCAGCCCCAGGCACACGCTGCATGCACGGCTGACGGGCATATATGAATGTTTTCTTCTTATTTTACTATTTAATTCTTTTTTAATTTCTTTTTTATTTCTATTTTAATTTATTTTTAATTTATTTTTAATTTATTTCTTCTTATTATTCAGGTGTATGTACACCTCCTGTGCTGCTGCCGTCGGTCAACGGCAGGCGATCATCTTTGCTGCTCTTTTTATGTACTTTTTTTCCTTTTTCTTTTATTAAATATTTAATTTAATTATTTTAATTTATTTTATTTAATTTTTTATGTATTTATTGTTGTATTTATTTTTTATTTTACTGTTTAATGGTATATACAGCAGCACCGATACGCGCAACTCTTTTTACTATAAGAAAAATATGTATAATAATATAAATATAAATATAAATATAAATATAAATATAAATATAAATATAAATATAAATATAAATATAAATATAATTATTAATTATAATTATTAATGAATAATTATAATTATATTTATATTTATAATAATATTTATATTTATAGTAATTCTTTTTATCCTTTTTGTTTTATTTATTCACATAATTAATTAATGCTTTCTTCCCTTTTACCCAGCCTCTGCTGCTCTCGCTGCTGCTGCTGTTGCTGCTGCTGTTGCTGCTGCTGTTGCTGCTGCTGTTGCTGCTGCTGTTGCTGCTGCTGTTGCTGCTGCTGTTGCTGCTGTTGCGGTGTATAGGCAGCTATCTATTCAAGAATTGCAAAAAGAAAACTAAATAAATAAATAAATAAATAAATAAATAAATAAATATAAATTGTTTATTATTGCTATTTATTTATTTTTTATTATATGAATATATATATTATATAATATTATTTAATTAAATTTTTATTTATTTAATTAATTATTTATTTATAACAAATAATTGCAAATAATAATAAAAAGAAAAAATACAAATAAATATATTCAGGTGTATATACACCCCAATTAAAGAAGATAAAAAAAAGAAAAATAAATAAATAAATAAATAAATAAATAAATAAATAAAAAGAATGGGTAATAATAATACATTAAAAGGGAAATTAAAAGAAGAAAAGAAAAAGAAAACTGCAGCTTGTTATTCTTTGCTGTTGCTGCTGCTGCTGCTGCTGCTGCTGCTGCTGCTGCTGCTGTTGCTGCAGCAGAATTTCTTTAATGGTTTATTAATGGACATTTATACTAAAAAAGAACAATGCAGCAGAAGGTGTTGCTGCTGCTAGCCATAAGCAGCTAGCTGCAGCTAGCTAGCTACGGTGTATCTACAGCTAGCTACAGACCAGCTACGGCTAGCTGCAGCTAGCTACAGCTAGCTATGGTGTAGGTATAGCTAGCTACGGTGTATGTACAGCTAGCTACAGGTACAAGAAGAAAGATAAGGACTACGAGCTGTTTGTTGCCTATTAATGGGGTGTATATACAGCCTGGACATACATCAAAGGAAGAACAGAGAAACGCCAACTACGGAAACAGCGCAACATGCTGCTCCTGTTGCTGTTGCTGCTGCTGTTGCTGTTTCTGCTGCTGTTGTTGTTGCTGTTGCTGCTGCTGCTGCTACTTCCAGGCTTTCTATACACACCCATGCATACACACTTAGCAGACAAGGAGAGAAGCTACCCTTGATGGAGCCGTACGTACACAACGCTGCTTATATGATTCGCAGCAGCAACATAATTAACAGCAGCAGCAACAGCAGCAGCAGCAGCAACAGCAGCAGCAGCAGCAGCAGCAAAAGCGGCATATGTGTGTGACGACAGGACGGGTAAGACAGGCAGCAGGGTCACGGCTATTCATGGCTCTATTGATTTAATTGTATTTATTTAATTAAATTTAATTTAATTTATTTTATTAAATTGAATTAAATAAAAAGGAATAAAATATTAATAAAATAAAAAGAAAAAAGAAGAAAAAAGAACAAAAACATCGCGGTGTATATGCACGTGCTTCCGTGAAGGTCACTGCAGCAGCAGGAGGGAGAAAAAGAAGAAATTCTCCCTTATTATTAATTTATTTATATATTTATATTTATTTATTTATTATTTATTTAATTATTTAATTTTTTATCCATTTATATACAACAAATTATGCATTTTATTGCTTGTTTCCCCCTTCTCCTTATGTCAGCATACACTAGCTACGACGCCTGTGGCGGCGAGCTGTCGTTTGTGTCCTGCTGCTGTTGCTGCTGCTGCTATTAGAGCAGCAGCAGCAGCAGCAGGAACAGCAGCAGGAACAGCAGCAGTGTTTCTGAGTAAGCCTTTCTTTTGCTGGGTGTTCCTTCTTGCTTCCTTCCGTCTTCCTCTTTGCTGCTGTCTATCGCTAGTTCCTCCTTTGTGTCTCTTCTCCCTCCCTCTCCCCGCTGCTCCTACGCTGGGATCGGGATTGTGGGGATTGGGATCGTCGGGATCGGGATCGGGATCGGGATCGGGATAGTTAGGATCGGGATAGTCAGGATCGGGATAGTCAGGATCGGGATCGTTCTGATCGGGATCGGGGATCGGGGATCGGGATCGTTGGGATCGTTGGTATCGGTTAACTTGCAGCTTGCCAGAAGTTCGATTTCCTCCTAGGCAGCAGCGCCCCTGTTAGCACTCGGCAGCAGCAGCAGCAAGTGCTGCTGCTGCTGCTGCTGCTGCTGGTGTTGTATAGGAATGAGAGGAGAAGACTGGACAGCAGCTATCTCTGCTGCCTTCAAGAGAGGAGACGATCGTGCTGCTGCATCGCTTCTTGAGTCCCTCCTTCAAGCTCTTCAGCAGCAGCAGCAGCAGCAGCAGCAGCAGCAGCAGCAGCAGCAGCAGCAGCAGCAGCAGCAGCAGCAGCAGCAAAGTGTTTCTTTTCTTGTTCCTTTAGAGGCCTTAGTGTCGCCATTAAAGTTTGCTGCAGACGTTCTTGAAGCAGCAGCTGCGCCTGCAGCAGCAACAGCAGCAAATGCAGCAGCAGCTGCGCCTGCAGCAGCAACAGCAGCAAATGCAGCAGCAGCTGCGCCTGCAGCAGCAACAGCAGCAAATGCAGCAGCAGCTGCTACTGCTTCCTGTTGCTGCTGCTGCTGCTACTGTGGGGTGAGTCCCTGCTGCTGCTACTGTTCCCTTAGCCCATCGGGGGGTCCCAGAGGTGCAGCATCTGCTGCTGCTGCTGGTGCTGCTGCTGCTGGTGCTGCTGCTGCTGCTGCTGCTGCTGGTCCGGTGCATCTCTTGAATCCTCTCCTTAACTGCTCAATTGCAGCAGCAGCAGAGGTCCTGAAGCAGCAGCAGCAGCAGATACAGGTGCTGCAGCAAGCAGCAGAAGATGCCTTTGGGCAGCGGCAGCAGCAGCAGCAGCAGCAGCAGCAGGCAGCAACGAGCAGTTGTGTACAATGTGCAGCCTTCTTGCATCGTATCCTTGTTGCTGTAAGACGGCTTGCTGCTGTTGCTGCTGCTGCTGTTGCTGCTGCTGATGATGGTAGGCAGCAACGGACAGCAGCAGCTGACTGCTTCTGCTGTTGTAGCAACCAGCAGCAGCCTTGCAGCAATGGAGGCAAAGGCAGCAGCAAACTTGCTGCTGAGGAGCTGCTGCTGCTGATGCCTGATCTGCTGCTGCTGCTGGAGACATCTGCTCTTGCTGCTGCCTTTCTGCCTGCTGCTGCTGCTGCTGCAGTTGCTTTGTTGCAGTGCCTGCTGCAGCTGCAACAACGCCATTTCACTGACCTCCAGGACCAGCAGCGGCAGCAGCAACAGCAGCAGCAGCAGCAGCAACAGCAGCAGCAGCAGCAGCAACAGCAGCAGCAGCAACAACAGCAGCAGCAGCAGCAACAGGAGCAGCAGCAGCAGCAGGCAGCAATGGAGATGGAGCTGCTGCGCTGTGGCGTCAAAGCTCGTCGGACAGGTTTGCGTCTTCTGTTGCTGCTGCTAGGTGCTGCTGCTGTTGCTGAAGAGCAAACGCCGCAGCAGCAGCAGCACTGGCTGCTGCTGCAGCAGCAGAAGAAGGCTGCAACGGGAGACACTAGGGCAGCAAACAGCAGCAGCTGCTGCCTATGCGCCTCGCCGCTTCACATGAGCCAGCAGCTGCTGCTGCTGTTGCTGCAGCTCTCCGTAGCAACTGCTCTAACGAAGGCGCAGCGGCAGCAGCAGCGGCAAGAGCTGCAGCAGCAACAGCAGCAGCAGCAGCAGCAGCAGCAGCAGCAGCAGGATAGCATAGCTGGTGTACTGTGGGGAGTTCCCTTGCTGACAGAAGTGTCTTTGCTGTCCCGCCGCTTCTGCAGCCTAATAAAGGCAGCAGCAGCAGCAGCAGCTACACATACAGCAGCAGCAGCAGCAGCAGCAGTTGCTGCTGCTGCTGCTGCAACACATGACAGTATGGGGGAAGATATGCATTTCTTTAGGCCCCCCTGTGGCACTGGATATCCCTCCAGCAGCAGCTTGCTGCCGCAGCAGCAGAAGCAGCAGCAACAGCAGCAGCAGCTGCTGCTGCAGCGGTGGCAGCAAGGCATAGAAGGGCAGGCAGCGCGGCTGCTCGATTGTATCATGGAGATTTGCTGCCTCTATACTGCTGCTGCTCGTACACCTGACAAGCAGCAGCAGCAGCAGCAGCAGCAGCAGGTCCTGTTGCAACGACCCGGAGGAGTACAAGAACTGCAGCAGCAGGCGTGCTTTAGCTGCTCCTGCTGCAGCACGACGTTAGCAGCAGCAGCAATATATTTTTGCTGCAGTGCTGCTGCTGCAGTGTCTCCTTTTGCTGCTGCTAAGGAGACAGCAGCAGCAGCAAATAAATTAATTGTCTCCCTAAGACATCCTCCCTTCCTCTCTCTCCTCTTACGCAGGCTAGCAGCAATCAAGTGCCTCCTACAAGACACCAGCAGCAGCAGCAGCAACAGCAGCAGCAGCAACAGCAGCAGCAGCAGCAGCAGCAGGTGTGTATGGGGCGCAGCTAACGGGCTGTGTGTGTATGCTGTTTCTTTGTCTCTTGTTGAGGTATTAAAGCAGCAGAATGAGCAGCAGCAGCAGCAGCAGCAACAGCAGCAGCAGCAGCAACTGACCCAGGAGCTCGCCGATGGCTTCGAGAGATTCGTGCTGCTGCCAATGCTGCTGGCGCTGCAGCAGCAGCAGCAACAGCAGCAACAGCAGACGCCGCTGCAGCAGACTCCGTCTGGACAGCTAGCACATACGACACCTCGTACTGCTGCTGCTGCCCCTGCTGCTGCTGCTGCCCCTGCTGCTGCTGCTGCTGCTGCTGCTGCTGCTCGTGCCTGTCGCCTAATACTCCATTCTCCGCTTCCTCCTCTGTTAGGATCAGCAGCAAAGTATGTGGGGTTTGCTGCTGCAGCAGAGCTAACTGCTGCTGCAGCAGAACCTGCAGCAGCAGCAGCAGCAACTGCTGCTGCTGGAGAAGAGCAGCATAGAGGTAGTGGCAGCAGCTTCTGCTCCCGACTATACTGGTGGTGCAGCTGCTTGCATGCAGCGTGGATCCCTGCTGCAGCAGCTGCTGCTGCAAGACCTATAACAGCAGCTATTCCTCCTGCTGCTGCTGCTGCTGCATCACCAGCTGCAGAGGAAGCTATATTGCTGCTGCGGCTGTCTGCTTTGTTTGCTGCTGCATCTCTGCGTGTATGTGCTCAATCCTTGCCCCTTGTCTTGCTACCAGGGAAGCAGCAGCAGCAGCAACAGCAGCACCAGCAGCAACAGCAGCAAAAGTGGATTTATATCATTGGTTCTGCTGTGTACGTACACCTAGCGGTGCCTGCAGAAGCAGCAGCAGATGCAGCAGCACTGCTGCCGTTGCTGCTGCTGCGAGCAGCAGATGTTTTTCCTTATACTGTATTCTTAAGGAAAATACTCGGCAGTCTTGCTGCTGCAGCAGGCAGCGGCGCATGCATGCAGCATGCACTCATGGCCTTCAGCAGCAGCACCAGCAACAGCAACAGCAGCAGCGGACTAATGGAGCAGCTGCAGCAGCTGCCTGCTTGGGATAATCGAGGCCCCGCAGCAGTAGCACCAACAGCAGCAGCAGCAGCAGCAGCAGCAGCACAGTGTGCTATCCATCGCCTTACGTTGCTGCTACAAACTTTGGCTAATCCGCCGCAGCCGCTGCTGCTGCTGCTGAACGAAGCAGCAGCACAGCAGCAGCTGCTGCTGCTGCTTGCAAGGGCGTTGCAGCTAGCAGCAACACCAAAGGCATCTGACGCGTTTGCTGCTGCAGTGCATTGCTGCTGCTGCTGCTGCTGCAGCTATTGCCTTTCCGCAGCAGCAGTCACTGGTATATCCTTAGCAAACCCATCAAACAGCAGCAGCAACAGCAGCAGCAGCAGCAGCAGCAGCAAAGGCATGTTGTGCTGCATGCTGCGCTTAGCCTTAGGCCAGCCTAACCGCTGCAGCCGCCTTACCCAGTGGTCCCCACCCTCCATCAGCAGCAGCAGCACAGCAGCAGCAGCAGCAACAAATGCAGCAGCAGCAACAGCAGGAGATGGGGATCAACACGGTAGGCATGCAATAGATGGCATAGGCATTATCAAGGAGCAGCAGCAGCAGCAGCAGCAGCAACAGCAGCAAGGAAAAATGCAGCAGCAGCGGCTGCTGCAGCAAAAGTGGCAGCAACTGCAGCAAACCCTCTGCAATGCTGCTGCTTCGTTGCTGCTGCAGTTCTGTCTTGTAGGAGGGACGCAAGGGTGAGGCCTGCTGCTGCTGCTGTTATTGCTGCTGCTGCAGCTGTTGCTGCTGCAGCTGTTGCTGCTGTTTCAAGAGGTTCACGCATGCACCTGCTGCTGCCGGTACACTACGGAGGTGTCTGTCCCTTGCTGCTGCTGCATGCATGCGTTGCTGCAGTATCTACCTAGCTGTTCAGCTGCTGCCAGGAGCAGTAACAGCAGCAGCAGCAGCAGCAGCAGCAGGTGCAAATATGGGGACTATACATGAGCTGCTGCAGCAAATAGGTAGCAGATCGTTGCTGCTAGCAGCACCATCTCCGCTGCTGCTGCAGCAGCAGCAGCAGAAGCAGCAGCAGCAAGGGAATGAGCTGCAGCGTCTGCTGTGGAAGGCTATAATGCAGCAGGTAGAAGCAGCAGCAGCGGCAGCAGCAGCAGCAGCTGCTGCTGCTGCAGCAGCAGCAGCAGGAAAAGGTAAAGAAGATGAACATCTTATACACATAGCTAAAAGGAAAGAGGAAGAAGCAATCAATACACTCGCATTTGCTGCAGCACCAATGCCAGTATGCTGCTGCTGCTGCTGCTGCTGTTGCTGCTGTTGCTGTTGCTGCTGCTGTTGTAGATATGAGCATTGCTAGCAAGTGCTGCTGTTTCTGCTGCTGCATCTGCTCGTGTTGCTGCAAGCCATTTATCTATGCTCCTTTATCTGTGTGTGCTGCTCCTGCTATTGTTGCTGCTGTTGTTGCTGCTGCTGCTGCTGCTGCTGCTGCTGCTGCAGTTTCTATGTAGTGGAGGGTTTGAGGTGCTGCAGCAGCAGCTGTATCCTCTCCTTGCTGCACATCCTTTTCTTAGGGAACCTGTCTTAGATATGCTGGCAGATCGGTATGTTCTGCTGCTGCTGCTGCTGCTGCTACTGCTGCTACTGTTGCTGCTGCTGCTGCTGCTACTGTTGCTGCTGCTACTGTTGCTGCTGTTGCTGCTGCTGTTGCTGATGAACCTTTATGTACCTTAGTAAGATATTTTCTCCCCAATCGTCAGCTAAAAGCGCCTGTGCTGCTGCTGCTGCTGCTGTTGCTGCTGCTGTTGCTGCTGCTGCTGCTGCAGGCTACCTCATGAGTTTTCTCCGGGTGTCTACGCAACTTATGATTTCTTTATAAGAAGAAGTCGTCTTTAATTACCTCCCTATACACCCCAATTTATTATTTATTTATTTATATATATAAATATATAAATATATAAATATAATATTTATATATTTATATATAAATATATTTATATTTATATATATTTATATATGCATGCGTTACGTAGACGTAGTCTGCTGTGCAGCAAAATCTACTTGCTGCTGCTTCTGCTGCTATTGCTGCAGCAGCTGCTGCTGCTGCTGCCTCTGTTGCTATCGCTGCTGCTGCTGCTTCTGCTGCTATCACTGCTGCTGCTGTTGCTGCTATAGCTTCCTCCTCCTAAGATACCACCGCAGCAGCAACTGCAGCAGCAACAGCTGCAGCAACAGCTGCAGCAACAGCTGCAGCAACAGCTGCAGCAACAGCTGCAGCAACAGCAGCAGCTTTTTCTTTTGTTGCAGTTGTTACGGTGTATATATTATTAATTAAATAAAATAAATTTGTTTATTTATAAATTAAAAGAAAATAAATTTTATTTATTTATTTATTTATTTATTTATTTATTTATTTATTTATTTATTTATGCGGTACCCCTAATATATTTCCTTAAACCCTAAACCCTCTAGGGTTTAGGGTTTTGAGGAAATAAACCCTATAGGGTTTAGGGTTTATATTTCCCTAGGGTTTAGGGTTTAGTGTATAATAATATCCCTAGGGTTTATGATGATATAAATATCCAACATAATCCCTAGTGTATATATATATATATATATATATATATATATA